CCCCAAAACCCCAAAACCCCAATGTTCCAATTCAATGCAATCTTTGAGAGATCCCAAATAAATAATTTTTGTATATTTGAAGTGTCTTGATATCAATATTTGAATATAATCTTATTAAATCCAATAGCCTGAATGTCCTGATTACTCCTCTAAGATTTATCTAAATCAAGGAGGTAAAGGAAATCATTCAGTTTGCAAGAATTTTTCTTCACCATTGAGGTATCTGACAAGATAAGCAGGGTTACTGCCGCAGTGATTGTTAGGGCAATCACCTGGGAAGGTAAACTTGAATGATCTGTTGTGATAGACATTGCCATTGATGTCTTTCACTTGGATCTCATATGTTCCAGTGGTTCCTGAGAGAATGTATTGCTGGCCCATATCGCTATTCATCTTGGCTGGCTGCCAATGGCCATTAACATTTTCTAGGACCTCTGAAATAGCATTGTTAACACCAGCTATTATGATGGCTGGCCAGTATTGCTGAGCGTTCTAAGACCAATAAAGCTAGAGATCCATTTAAGGACCCTCAATAAACTCCCAAGATACTTGTCTATTGTTCCATTTGTTGGATACATCAATTGTTCTACCATTAAGTTTGAAATTGTTTAGAGATTCAGTTTTCAAGTCTGTGTGGAATTTATCATCTCTGCACCATCTGTTTCCATCTTGGCAGCTGTCTGTGACAATATATTCTTGTTGAGCACCTGTGAATTCATCGCCAACCCACTGACCGCCTTCACAGAACTCTTTCCCTGGCATTCCAGAGTTAACTCCAGTGCAATATTTACCTAGAGTTACTCTAATAAATCTGCCGCAGTTAAAGCCATTGTTAAAGAGACCCAATCTTGATTTGTCAGCAATTGGTCTTTGCAAATAGGTTGAGTAATCATTTGGGGTATCCTACACATTCAATGCTAAGTAGTGTGGGTAGTTGATAAGTGATTCAGGCACTCCGCAACCTCCGAAAGGTGCCCCAATTCCATCAAAGTGAGTAGCCATAGAGTCATTACTCATAGCAATGCCCATGATCATTGAGACGGTTCCAATCTAAACAAGCTTCATGTATCCAAATAATAAGCTTTATAACAATATTTATATAAAAATATCCATTTTATCTAGATTTAGCTCTGTCATTTGCCTCGTGGGGTTTTGGGGTTTTGGGG